TTTTTAATGTCTATGCTTGACGTTCTTCTTATTATGATGCTTCTTATTGAAAAAAATAGTCTATTGTAAATAAAGCTTTTGCTGTTGATGTTAAAATATTAGCCCATTGAATTCTTATTACCTGATGCATTACCTCTGTCTCCTTGCATTTTTCCCATGTGCCTCCCAACTTGACAAATCATTATTCTCAAAACACTTAATCTTGAAGACCTCAAGGCCTCCAAATAGCTTTGTACCTTTGTATAAAAACTGTTAGACTCTCACTCAATATGTGAATCCCGTCTCTATTCATGGTGGGTGGATATTACATAAAAAAAGTGAGATGACTATTTTAAATTTCATAGCTCAAATTATATATAGAGAGAAGACAAGGCAAGGGGTGGCTTGGTAAGAATTGGGAAAGAGCTTATAATATGTAGATGAACATAATAATAATAATAAAAATCCTAATAATATATAAGTATGCAAAATATTCTCTAAATCTACATAGAATAAATCTTGATAGATAACAAATTTAAACAAAATAAATATTCATAAATAATAGGTTAAAATGCATATAAAACTTTTGACTTTTAAGGTAATTGTATATGACCCTCTTCTCCTTTTAAATGTTTAAAATAACCCTCTAATCTTTAATTTTTTTTTTAAAGTTCCTATTCTTAATTATTTTGTTATGTTATTAATAGAGTTTTCCATGTCAGATTAAAAAAAATCCACATATAAGCTTATGTGGCATTTTTTGTAAGCAAATAATAAATGTATAGAAAGTATATATTTTTAAAATATTTACTATTGTATTAGTTTTATCCGTGTCTTTTTGAATGATTAATCCTTTTCTTATATTAAAGGACAAATTTGTCTTTTATATAATTTTAATCAATAATAGATTTTAAATATTTTTTTATTTAATATGAAAGGCTTTTTTAATTGATAAACAAATAATAAAATTATAGTTTTTGTCTAAAAATATGTTAACAGTGAATAATAAGAACAAAGTCACTTTAAATAAAAAAATGAGAACATCATCATGCGTGTTTTAAAATATAATTTTGCCTCTCCTTAAATTATATGAAAAATTAATAAAAATAATTTTTTTCATGTCATGTATCATATGTATTTCATTCCTCTGACATAAATTTTTTATTAATAACATAATAGAGTAATTAACTATAAGAGAGCTTAAAAAATCAAAAATTAATAGAATTAATTTTAAACATTTAAATGTGGGGAAGTTATATGCCACATCCTCAAATTGGGGGTGGGGTTATGCTTTTTAATCTAAATAATATATCTTAATAGTCACTATATAAAAAGATAAATAACATATAGTTAAATTTGTTTGTACAAACTCATCCGAACCTCATCAAAAACTTGATGTTTATGATTATGATCGTTTTGTTATTATCAGTTCAATATTTGATTATAGTATAATTGTTCTTTTTGTAATAAAGGAAAGGGAAGAAAAATTATTTCTTAAAAAAGAAACACCTAGCACACTCTGTCATTGGGATGGGATGAGGGGCTTATACTAATTGACTTGATGATGGAAAGAGCCCGAGTTGTGACAATATCAAATAATAATGTTCTTATATTTTCAAGTATTTGATGAAGAATTTTAAAGAAATAAATATTATTTTACTTGGCACCCTAAAATGATGGTCATTTTGATATCTTTTTAGCTAACTTGTAATTATAACTACATCCTAATTGTTCATCTTAATTCTTATAATTAGTATCAAAGCCATGTTTCACTTAATATATGTGATAGAAACTTTTTTGTACTCCTTTTACCTTTTCATATTGATTTTAATTTTACAGGACTCTGATACCACTAATTATGCTTACATTTTTTTAAAAAAATTATTTTATATTAGTTATCTTTTATAATTACAATTACACATTTATAAATTATATCTATATATTTATTATTATTATAATTTTTTTAATGTTTGAAAAGAATCTCTTCCTTTCTTATGTATATTTTGATATCTAGCTTTATGCTCTTCTTATCCATGGAGCTTTTGTTTATTAAAAAATAATCTATTTTAAATCAAGTTATTACTATTGATGTTATAAATGTTAGCCCACCAATCCATGGGTGGCTTCCCCTCCTCTTCCCATCCTTTCTCCTATCCTTCTTCCTACATTCTCTACCATTAATATTAATTTCAATGGTTGAGATTTAATATATAACAAAATTAGTATTAAAATATTAAATGATAAAAAATAAAATTTAAATTATTAAAATTTTATTTAAACAGTTTTAGAATTATAGTGATAAAAAAATTCACCAGAACTACAATATATAAAATATATTCATTATAGTTTTGAACTATTAAGTTAAAATTTTAATAGTTTATTAAACACTTATTTATTATTTATTAATATAATAATAATATTATCATATTTATCACTATAGTTTGAACTATTCATGCAAAATTTTAACAATTTAAATTTATTTATTTTTTAGTATTAAATAATAATTTTATATTTATCATTATAGTTCTGAACTGTTTAGATAAATTTTAAAAGTTTAAATTTATTTATTTTTTGTTATTAATATTTTAATAATAATTTATTATATTAAATTCAATCATTGAAATTAAGACCAATGGTAGAGAAAAGAGGAGGAGACAAACTAACTCCCTCAATCCTTTAACAAAACAAGCAAATTAAGCTTAGTAGTCTTACTTTCTGTTAAATAAAAAATAGTCTCATGAAGAAAAGATTACTTTGGTTATATCAAAATGAATGATTCTCGTATCCAAGCTTCTTTGGAAGATTTATACACCTCTACATCTATGATATTTGAAATGCTAACTCTCCAACACATGAGAAATAGAAGCCGTGGCTTAAAGATGACTTTGACAGAGAATTATAAATAAGACCAATAAAATGTGAAGAATTATAAATAAGATCAATAAAATGTGTGGGTGTCACATGCTTTTAGCCATATTACTTGGGCAAATAATAAAAACACTTATAACCTTTAGCTAACAAATTGATCCAATACCCACTCATTTCTTTTTAGGGGAGAAAACTAGAATGGGATACACATGTTGTATTGATCAGCTCTAAAACATTCTAAATGCAATTCCTTTTTTTTAAATAAACAAACCTTTACAATTCCAATACATATAAACCAAATGATTTTTATGGATGGACTATGTCTTAATATACAAATTTATGCATATTACATAAATTAGAATTATCTCCCATGCAAACATGGAGATGAAATATCAATAAATGATAAGAAAAACAATTATATAAAAACATGTCTATAGTCATGATAAGACATTTTCATAAACTCAGAAAAATGAAGATCACATCCCTGCTAGATTAGTCCTATCTTCGTGAAATACCCCAAAGATTCGGAGAAGTTTCAGGCAATTAAAAAAAAGAGCATAAAATAGAGACCCAAAACCCTGTTCTTGGTGAGGGTTTAATTTAGCTACAAGATCGATAACGTTAGAAGTAGAGAAAGAGCAAGAAATGACCTTCAAGCAATGATCGAATTCAAACCATGTTTTTGTTATCCTTTTATGTAGTTCTTTAGATCATTTTATGTAATTGACTAATCAATTAATGGTCAAAGTTAATGAAAAATGAGAGATTGCCTCTATTTTAAATATTTAGGAATGAAAATGCATAAAAAACAAGGGTCTCATATGTTCTTAGGTCTACAGTTTAAATACCACATTATTCAAAAATAAATGCAAGAGGTTACTTTATATGCCTTCATTTTCATTCAAAAATGATGCATTGTCGTATTATGTTGTTTGAAGAATCTTAATTTTAAGTTAAAAATAGAAATTGGCTCAAAAATTTAAAAATAAAATAAAATAATCATTAGCAATTCAGGTATTCAAGCTAGCTTAAAAAGCCACAGTGTTGGGATTGTGTTTGACTATATTGAGTTTTTTAATTTATATGTTTAGTTATTTTTAAGCGTGCCCTAAATATGTTTTGTTTGAATAAATCGAACCTAGCTCAAATTCTCAGCTCTTAGCATCTACTTATGCTTGGTGTTCATAAAAAAAAAAAAAAAATCAATTTGGTGATTACATTGCTCTATGCTTCTCACATAAACAAGGAATAAATCTAACCTATAAAGGAATTTATCTCCTAGCAAAGGGTGTCTACCCCTCTCAACTAAGTTATCATATACACAAAAGTTAACACATCAGTTGAATGAGTAATCAACCTTCCTACCTTTTTTTTTTTTAAGGCTAATTTGACTAATGGGTTGTTGGAAACAGCACCTCTTTATATGATGTTTTGAAGGCTAATTTGACTAAAGCAAGTTTTAGTGATTGATGAATTGTCCCATTAGTAATAATAGAGTAGGTGTTGGTTAAACTGTTTTTTTTTTGGGTAATTTTTTGTTAGGTTGTATCTAGATTTTTTTAAGTGCTTTTTTTGGCTTCGGCAATTAGCTATTAGTGTGTGTGCTTACTTTGTTTGGTGATTAATAAAATGGACTATCTTTTTTGGCAAAAGCCAAAAAACAACGTCCATGCTACTCATGTCAACTTAAATTAATGACATGTATTTTCTACTTACACATAAAAGTTGATAAGTTTATTTTATTATCTACTTACATAGATGCATGTCCAGTGAAAACATCATTGATAATGTTCAACACAAGTTTATTTTTTCATTTACATACAAAGTTGACAAGTTGGCGAAGATCCAATAATAGTTCATAATGTTTCTCACAACGAGACTCGTGGAAATAAGTTCAACAGAACTTACATATAGCAAACTTGAACCATAGAAAAGAGATTTTGGCTTGTAAAAGCTTATTGTATCGCTTGCAAGATGTACATCTAGTTTGAACTAGTCCAACTTTGACATGGATGGTCTAAATTTGTATTAATTGTTTCTTATTTTAAAATCTTGTTCAAGAAAATCTAAACCATCAACATCTTATAAGGACAGTCCAAGCCATACGTACTCAATAGAGTATGTGCAAGAGATTGGTTGTCCATTTTTTAATCAGAGAGATAACTTGCAGCGTAAGTTATCGGTTTTCCGGTGCCTAAAAGGGAAGAGCTTCTTCTAACCCCTTGGGATGAAATAAGGAGGTGGAAGACCCAACTGAGAATTTTGGGAGTGAAAACCCGAAATAGTGCAAAAACATCGTACCAACTCGGATACTTCACATACGGCTCGCCTCGACATGCTCCTGATACGATCAATCTCGCAAATTCTTGGACAGATCCACCACTCACATGCACCTAGAACAATTCATTAGTGAGAACAATATTAAACAAGAAAGAGTCAAAACTAGAAATTGAATTAAGAGAAACAATATTAAATGAAGAAACAACTCACCTCTCTTTCTTCCTTCCACTGCATATCAGCACCGTCCTCCATCATGAACTTGCCACTTGTCATTTCACTTCCAATCCAACCATGTGTTGCTATGGTTACTCCAACCTCATTCTTTAGTTCAAATCTTAGTGTCTCATAGAAGTTCACTAGTGCAGCCTTTGCAGCCTACCATGTAGATAATACACAATCAAAAACCAAATACACTCTCTTCACTGAATAGAAAACAGCTTTCAAAACACACACACACTCTCTCTCTCTCTCTCTCTCTCTAGCGTTTGATTTGGCTCTGATCACTTCAGCAAAATTCCAAGCTAACGTGTACACTTCTCTCTATCCTTGAATTTCACTAATTACGCTCTGGTCTTGTTTTTCCGGCTGTGATTTATATATTCAATTGAGATAAGTGATTTCAACACGATCATGTACATGTCTTGTTGAAAATCTTTTAAGGTCCATAAAACTCTAGACTGTGAGACCTGATTTTATACCTATCAACTGTTGAGTCAATCCCAGTTTCATTCAATTTGGCCTAATGGTACCTTGATAGGCTGACCGATGAACCATAGGTCAACTTTTCAGACTAATTGTTACTGTATTAAGAAAAGCAAAGAATGTTAAGACTTAATTATGAGGTGGATAAGTACTTACAGCATACAAGCTCATCCTTGGCAGAGGTAACCAATTCTCTACCGACGCGTTGATAATCACACGGCCATGGCTCTGATGAAGGTAAGGAAGAGCGACAAACGTTGGGTAAACATTGCCCCAGAAATTGATGTCCTGAGAATAAAAATGTTTAGACCAAATTGTTTCATTAATAATGCCTCTACAATGATTTTTTCCCCTGCAAACTGATGCAAATTGAACTTCTTACCAGAAGAAGCGGGAAAACTGATGTGTCTGTAGCTTCTTCGAAATAGAATGTATGTCCCAAACTCACTGTATTCACAAGATGATCCACTGCGAACAATAAACAAAAACGAGATAGCTCACTATAAAACAAGATCTCAGTCTTAACTAATTCTGATATGTCAGCTAATGCAGAATAGTTCTGAACTTTAAGATTATTTTTTAGAATATGCTCTCAACTTTCAAAACCAGTAAATTTAGTGTACTGTAAATAAAGGTTAGTATGTAACATGCACATACCACGGCCAAAAATACTTATGGTTTCATTGACAAATCTTCTGCATTCATCTTCCTTGACTACATCTGCTGCCATGATTATCACATGGCTTGCACCTAGTAGACTTGCATTCTCGGCGATCCATCGCAGGCGTTGCTCCCGGCGAGCCACTAACACTAAATTTGCCCTCCTCTTTGCATATTCATATGCAATTTGCTGCCATATTCAAAGATATGATATAATCAAGCAAAGTAACAGACAAGTTTAAGATACAATCAATCCAAACACAGGTTCCACCAACTTGATTGATCTTCGAATACAAACTGAAAATGCAAAATCAGATCAAAATTCAGAGTAAATGATGCTTGATTTGCCCTCCTCTTTGTGTATTATACACAATATAATTCAATGTAATTCCATTAATCATTCCACATTGAAACAAACAGAAAATGAAAAATCACATGTGAAAAGAAAATGCATCTCAAACAGCAAAAAGCTACCTCATTTTTCTTTATTTCTCTCTCTTCTCTGCATATTAATAAATGTAATTTGGTTGAACTTCAGACCACATGCAGGGAGGAACAGATGAACTTCAAAAAATTGCATGCTGTTTCTTACTGTGTTTTGCTTCACTGTTTCTGCTTCCTTAGTGGTAAATTACAAAACCAACACAGAAATTGATAACTTCAACTAAAATAATCAGGAAACTCTCACAAGGACTAAATCAAAAAATAAAGGCTCTACTTTACTTGATTCACTCCAAACATGATCATTTTGTACATATGAAACCATTACTGAATTCCAATTGCGTAACTGTGGAAAACTCAATCTGGCTTGGCTTCGAACAACATGAATGAAACAGAGAAGTAGTAAATAAAGAGAAGGATTGAAAGAGAACTTGCCTCTCCAATGCCAGAAGAAGCACCAGTGATGATGACGACCTTATCGTCCATATACTCGCCATTGGAGCTCTGATAAAGCCACTCACAGACATTGAGGAAGCACAGTGCAGGCCATGCGAAGGCCAGCATGAGCAAACTCGCCGGAGGGACCACCAAGTTGAGCACAGAGTTCATCAAGTAGTCCATGGCTAGCTAGCTTCAGATGGTTATACAGACAAGAGAATAATATATGATATGTGGGAGATGGGTTGTAGATGCGCTTCAGAACAAAGAAGAGAGAGGGAGATGAAGAAGAGGAAACAAAGAGAGAGAGAGAGAGAAACACGTGGTGGTGGAGAAGAGTGAGGTGGTGGAGAATGAAAGAGTGCTGTGTTGGATTTTCATGCATGAAAGGTGTCTGGTTTACACTCACACTCATAGCTGCTTCAGTGAAATTGATGCTCCACCAAGCTGACATCTGTATCCTCAAACTGACAATGGACTTGGACATGTGTTCGGTTCGGTTCGGATCAGTGGGTTTGGTGTCGGGTGTCATTTCTGGGGTTTCACTCCATTGTTTGCTGGAGAGGCGCGGCCTAATTTTCAGGTATGTTCCATTCCATAGGGTGCACTTGGAGGGGTAAACACTACGATTTTTTTTCGGTATAACAAATATATTTTAAAATCAATTATATTATATTATTCATAATTTAAAAAGGCATCAACAAATAATTTTATATATACCATAGACGTTTTATTAAAAAAAATGAAGCATACCAATGACCAATTTTAAATCAAAGATTAAAATTAGACACAAATCTAGATGGGAGAATGACAATAATATATTCTTGAAATATATATGAAAATTAAACAACGTGAAATGAGATTATTGTTATTTAGTTTTTCGGGATTTGTTTGATAGTGGATCCATCTGGCTGCTTCATATTTCATATCTAAAAGGTGCTTTTACATTTTAAAAAAGAGGGATGTTGTTCTGGTATAAATTTTTAACTGACTTTCAGAAAATGCATGATGAGGCTCCAAAGTGAATTTGGGAAAGCTTTGAAGTGTGATTTTAAAACATGATCCCCTTAATATTTAATATGACCATACCACCCTGATTTTTATAAAAAAAAAGAAATTGTAGGTATATCTTTGACAGATCACGTTAATAACATTATGGTTCTCAACAATTTTTTTTTGACAAATAAGTTGTAACTAGCAAAAGGTATAGTAAACTGAATAATGCATATTGAACTATTTATATTTTTCTACAATATATCAAACTTTATATTTTTCATCCTTGTTATTTAACATATTAAATTTTATGTAATTTAAACTTTTTATCACATATATTTTTCAAATATTTTTAATATGAAGTATTTGTATGGCAAAAATTAATAATAATAAAAATTAATGCTTTTTTTGACAATTGTATGTTCAATTTAACAAATTGGCACAAATTTTGTTACAACAAATAACTTTTTTTAAATTGACTTTTATCATATGAATTTTTGACTAATGAAAAACCTAATGAACACTTAATTTTTTTGTGGAACGGCATATTTGCCCTTAGCTTCCATTGCCTACACCATTGACGATTGGTGAGATATCAATTGCATCAGTGGTGATCTTTGGGGGATTGGGCGACATCTACATCAAGCGAGGATTTGTCATTTTGCAAGACATTAGAGGTTTCAAAACCAATATGACTAGAATTCGAAATAGTATGCTCGACTGGCAGTGAAAGAAGCTAAGGGCAAATATGTCATTTAAAAAAATTAAAATATCAAAAAAGTCCCTGGGTAGTACATAATAATTATTACATTTTGTGATACTTAATTGTCATTTTAATATTTTGAAGGTATTTTATTGTCATTTATCTATTTATAAAAATAGGCTAATAATTAGAATGCTTTAATTCCAGTAATTCCATGTTTCATACTCTTTTTACAATTATGTGCTTTGAAAATTAGGTTTACTGGTTGGTCTTAGTTAGCTTAATTATAGTATAATTAATTAAATTTTTGAACAATAATTATCAAATAGATAATTATTTAAGTATTAGAAATATAAATTTTAAAATATCATTATTTAATAGCAAAAATATTATAATGATAACTATAAGAATATATCTATCATTATCTCCAACCTTAATTCTCTCAAAAACCAAATCAGATTTTAATTCTAATTTTATTTTTTATAATTCAAGATTATTCAAATTTAAATTTGATTTGCAACCCAATATAATTATATGTCATATCGTCTAGCTTAATTAGCCTTAAATATATGTCACATCAAAATTATTCCATGCAGAAAATTCTACTCATTTTTTTTAGTATATTTTATCTTCTTGAATCTTTAACAAATGATTTTCCTTTCATTTTTCATCCAACATTCTTTATATGAAACTAGCACGGGAAGCCTATACTTTACTATTAAAAAAAAATTAAATATGAAATTATATTATTGCATTGATTTACTTTTATACTTGATAAAAATGATATGGAAATATACTAAATTTGTGCTAAATTAGATGAACATTTGAAATATAATAACCTTCACTACCATATAATTAAATTTTGAAATCATGCTTGTTCATTACTCCCCTCATCATCTAATAAAAATATTCAAAAAATCAAACTGCTTGCCATACTTTTGAGCCTAGACAATCTTTAAAGATGGAGTTTTTTGGGACATGCGCTAAATGATCCCATTGCTAAATATGGAGGAATAAGCTATAGTTGTGCTTTCTCATTGTAGGTTTGTAAGTGGTCAATTTTTTTCTTTTTAGTGAAAATACCTTGTTGTGTAATGTGTAGCATTTCATGTCACTGTCATTGATATATTCCCTTCAATATCCTTTCAATATTTCATTTACTACAACTTGATTTTCCATGTCAAAAGATGGAGGTTTTCTCTTCTTTTTTTGGATTAGACGGAGGTCTTCTTATATCTTATACTCCATTGATTTATTTCAGTGGACTGTAATATTTATATGCAATATGATAAAAAAGAGCAGGTTAATCAATACAAATTAAATAAACTTATATTGAAAGTCCATTACTACCAGTTATAAGAAACAACATACACTTCATGTTAATAACGTAAAATACACATAAGCTATGCTTAGAGAACAATTTTAAATTTACTTGTGAATAGACTTTACATTCGGTTATCATGTTAGGAATATTTCAAGAGCCTTTGCCTCAGGCCATGCACAATCCTCACAGTATGAAAGATGTCCTATACTCCTATTAGCCTTGTGCTATATATAGGAAGAGTGTGTCCAAAGTGTATTCCATCTAACATCCCTTAATAGGAAGAAATTTCTAGCTGTCCTCTTTTCGTCAACTCAAAGCATTTACTATTTACTAATATATTGATATCTGGACTTCTACATTAATGAATTTGTATATTGCTTGTGATATGATGCAGCGATGGTGTTATACTTGTTCAGTTAAAAGTTCTCTACATCATATCTTGCAGAGTGTCATATCTACCTCTTCTCTGCATAAGACAAATGTTGATCCGGAGTTTAAATGAGTTACAACTCTTCTCCTACTTAGTTTGAGATCATTCCACCACATGACTGTTTAAATATTTCTTCTTGCCATAACTTTTTTGCAGTAGTTATATTTGATAATTTCATAATGAATGAAGCCATGTTACAAATGCCTCATTCTTCCTATAACCCTTGTGGCAGAACAATGGTTTTCGAGGAACACTTCATCTGCAAGTAATTTAATCCAGCTCCCAATATTATTTACTAAACAAAAAAATACATATCAGTTATCAATTGCAACTACTGCCAAACCAAAAAAAAAAAACCATCATTCCATATGATTCTTGCAAATTAAACGACCAACATGAGAGATGCATGTCCTTCAAAAAATCAATACTCTCATACTTTGTCTGCAGACTCATGGTGAAGGGCTTACCTTAGGAATCTATAATTACAAATCAAAACATGCCTCGTAGATGAGATTTTCTCTCAACTTCATAGACTACCAATCAAATTAATAAACTACGAAATAAGTGGAGAAAAATTCATCCTACACTTTGTCCTGCATCTATTAAAAGACATCCCTTGATATTTCCATTGTCATGAATGATTGGTAAGGGGTAGCCATTTTTTACTACATAAATCCTAAGCATGGTTTACCAAAAACTCAAAGGGCACATAATGAACTAATAGAATAATGAGAAGACATCAAGCGTAAAGACACATGTTTGGAAATATCAAGAACCCCTGATACATTAAGGGATGGAAAAGTATTGGAAAATAAAAGTAGATGAAGTCATCTGTAACATCCGGAAATTTTAAGACTCGGATTTATAAAGATAAAATAAAATAAAATATCTATAATTAAATTAAAATTTAGAATAATTTGATAGAGGTCCAGAGTTTGAATTTTACTAAGCAAAAGTTTAGTTTTATTTGATTTTTAACTATAGAAAAAATTACCAAAGTTGACCCGGGCTTTTGTGCAATAATAAAAAATGTTGGGCCATTTCTTGTAATTTTCCCCAAACTTTTAGATCAGCTTTTATAAGAGGAAAACCAGACCAGAAACGCAGAAAAGAAAACAAGAAAAGAAAGGAAACACGTGAGAGAGAGAGAGAGAGGAAGAAGAAAGGAGAAAGAGAGGGAGTTAGGCTCGGATCTAGGAGTCTTTGCGACCGTTGCGAGCTCGGCTACACGATAGGTAAACTCCCTACTTCAATCCTCTTCTTTTTCTCTTGATTTTCTTCAATTATTTGGAAGAGGAGATTTTTGGATTTTGATTCCAAAGGCTTTATTCTTGTAAGCTTTTGTTTCTTTGGATTCTAGGGAGCATGTTTTGAGTTTCTATATAGTGATCTAATATTTTGAGTGGATAATTGGATGAAAAGAGGTGTTTTGGGCACAAAATAAATCCTAAAAAATTGGGTTTTTGCTCTTCAATGGTTTAAGCTTATTGATTTAGTTATAATTTTGCTATTTGAGCCCAATAAGATTTAAATTAAGGTTTGGTTTTCATTATAAGGGCTAATGGTGAAAGTTGGTGACACTAAGTGAAAGTTTTTAATTGATTAAAAAATTATATAAATTGAAAATTAGCCTAGTGATGGCTAATAAATGGTTTTGGTGGTTAAGTGATACTATGTGAATGGTTGGTTTAATATATGGACCATTAGGGTGGATTATGACTCATTGACCTAAGTTGTGTGGTATGAGTTATAGTCTTCATTAATGCTATTTGTCATGATAAGTGATGTG